GCACACAGACGCGCCCGATGTGAGTTTAAGCCATCAGTTCTGGGACTCGAACCGTGGTTGGCTACATGGTAGTCCGGTGCCATAGCCATTATGCCAACAGCTGGTCCCAGTCTCAGTTTTCTTGTCTGCAAGAAAAAATATCTATCATTCAATGCAATTTAATCAGTTTTTTTTTTTTTTTGGAGAGGTTTTCACTATAGGGCGCATGCGCTCGCCAGACAGAGAGAGACAGAGACAGAAAGCGAGAAATCACCACCCAGGGGGGATGGTCACGCCGCAATCCCTTCTCCTCCATTCTCCTCTCTGGATCCTGGGCACGCACGCACACGCGCCCGGCGTGAGTTTTAAGCCACCGGGTCCGGGACGTGAACCACGGTCGACTACGTGGGAGTCCAGCGACATAAGCCATTACGCTAACTGCTGGTTCCCCAATTTAATCATTTTTAACAAAACACTTCCTACTGTTTTCCAATCACTGTGCTAATTATTGGAGATCACCAAATGGCACAGTAGGTAGCAAACTAATTTGCAGTGTGTTAAACAGTGTATAGACAGAGCTCTGCATAATGGGAAAACCTAACTAAAATACTCCTTTCACTAGAGAATGCCATTTTCTAAAGTTATGTACTTGTCCTACCTAAGAACTTTTCATTTTATTGACTAGGAGCATCAAAATCATAATTATAATTTCATACTTTCATTGACTCCATATTGTGTAAATTTTAAATTGACACCAATTTATCTTTGAGTTGATTTTCTGAAGATATTAAGTGAGTTTTGAGATCCTAAACTGTTGCTTTTATACATAAAAGTTTTATTTGTTTCTAATTTGGGAACTAATACACTTTTATTAATTTGCGCTGAAACCGCAGAGTTTGTTTTCTGTGTTTCGCTGTGGTTTTCTGTTCAGCCATCAGTTGCCACCCATTTTCTTCCAGGGTTACATGTATGTGTTGATTGGTATTCTAGGGATAACCTTTTACTCTGTTGTAGTCTTTTTTTTTTTTTTTTTTGAGAGATTTTCACTGTAGGGCGCGTGCGCTCGCCAGACAGACAGACAGAGACATAGAGACAGAAAGCGAGAAATCACCCCCCAGGGGGGATGGTCACGCTGCAATCCCTTCTCCTCCATTCTCCTCTCGGGATCTTGGGCACGCACGCATACGCGCCTGGCGTGAGTTTTAAGCCACCGGGTCCGGGACACGAACCGCGGTCGACTACATGGGAGTCCAGCGACATAGCCATTACGCTAACTGCTGGTTCCCCTCTGTTGTAGTCTTGATGACTTTTTTTTTTTAGTCCTTTATTATTCAAATTAAAAATGAGATTGAAAATTAATGGGAACTAGTGAAGGGAAGAGGAACCCAGATTTTTGAAGAGCAGTGGTTTATTTTATGAATTGTCTTCCTGGTGAACACAGTGCTAGGACATCAGTTACAGAAATGGATTAGGAAAAATATTGCAAAAACTTACCTGTGGTGGAAATATTTTTTTTTTGGTGGGGGTGTTTTTTTGTTTATTTATTTGTTTTTTTTTTAAGGTCATGTACCCATAGGGGAGCATAATTGACCAGCATCTCAACTTTGCTGATTTGGAACCAAATACATCCATCAGTCTCATTAGCTTCAGTTGTTCTCTTAGTGTCATCTACATTTTCTGTTGAAGTGCAGACCAAAGAAGTCAAGTCCAGGCATTGAGGGACAGGGTAGGAAAAGACAGGATGGCGAGAGGAAAGGCAAGATGAGTAGTTTTGAGAAGAAAGATTGTGATCTGAAATGCAAACTATAAAAATGATTTGCTGTTGGGCTGGTCTTGTAGCTTACTTGTTAAGGGACCTGGATCCCACCCCATTGACTTAGAAAACTCACTAAAGTGCATGTCCCAAATCCTGACAGGATGGAGAAACAGAACAAGAGGGATGGTGGTGTGGCCATGCCCCATTGGGGGGGTGCTTTCTTTACTGTCTTTATCTCTGCCTCTCCCTGGTGAGCACATGTACCTGCTGGCAAGAGAGAGAGAGGGAGAGAGAGAGAGAAAGGAAAATGATTTGCTCATGACCAACTTATTTGATCCTTTGCATGTTGTTGTTCAGCTCAAAATAGTGCATGCAATCTTCACAATATTAGCTTTCCTATGTAAAATTTCATCTACAATAGACTGAACATTGAAGAACATTCTGTAGGTAAAAAGTAAATATCTTTTACCCTCCCTTAGATGAAAATGCTAAAGGTATTTTCTGCTTACAGGAAATGCTGTCCTTTGTATTAAGTAAATGGCCTTCCCATTAACCACATATGTGACATTTACCTTTTTTTAGTCTATAAAATAAGTGAACATAAGATACCTTCTAGTCCTAAAATGACATAATTCCATCATGTTTGACTCAGACATTTTACATTGCACATGATTCGGTTGAAAAACGGGAACTTTCTCATCTGTCAAGGTATTTTATGTGAACATTGTGATACTTTAGCTACATCCTTTTACCTGTATTTATTGTCATACTGGTGACACAGAAAATGCAATTTATGTTTCTGATTTTTCTTTAACTTGATTCATAACCAGGTTGTATATCATTGTGAAACTACACTGTATATATAATTGTTTATGTTTCTATTAACTATGTTACCAAATTTTTCCCCCTCAAGGATTTGTTGCTGTTGCTATAATAATTGGTATCCCAATTCTAGTCAAAATTTTCTGGGACTATGGAAAATCAGGGTGAGCAGAAATTCCAATGATTTCTAAAGTTTTATTCTTGCCTTCTTTCCACTGAAACATGTTAGTATATCAGTACTTTCTTGCATTTTTCTGACATGTTCTCTTTATGCTTTTTGTTCTCCATGGACAAACTTTGTCTCTTTTTTTTCTCTTGCTCAGTATGTTCTTGCTCAAGAGCACTGACCACATTTTAAAGAAAAGTGATTTGGAAGCCAAAGTTTCACTTTGTGCCCAATCAGCTCACCTTTTTTGCAACTCAGTATAACTTCCAGTATTATTTGTGCTGTACAGAAGCAGAGAAGCCGAGGGAAAGTCACCCTCTGCCATGGTCAAGGTGCCTGTGACTGGGCTTTTTCTGACTTAGAATTATGAGTAGATGCCAGGCTAGCTAAAAACAGTCACGTGGCTCAGAGGGCAGGCTTTGTTGTAATCCTGGGTCTGCTGTGTGACCATGAGCAACCTCTGGTCATAACCCCTCCCTGCCTCAACTTTCTCATTTGTAAAATGGGTGAAATATACCTCTTGGGATTGTACTAAAGACCAAATGAGTTTGCCTTCTATAAAGAGGTTAGGTCACTATTTGGCACATCGTAATTATCCCAACGCTAAAACAACACATGTGGGACCAGCAGATGATGGTGTACTGGTTAGGTCACTGGACTGCCGCATAGTTAGATGTGGTTCAATTCCTGGACCCAGTGGCTTAAAACTCACACTGGGCATGTGTGTGTGTGCATGCCCACAATCCCAAGAGAATGGAAGAGAAGGGATTGGGGTATGGCCTTTTCCCCTGGGAGGGTGTGATTTCTCGCTCTTTGTCTCTGACACCAGCAAATGCCCTATAGCAAAAATTTCTCTCAAAAACAAAACAAGACAAAACACACATAAAAATCAATATTATTTGAAATATCTCATTTGTATTGAATCCACATATTTTAAGTATAAATGTTATTGACTTTGACCAATTCTGACAAACAGAATTCTGGATTTAATTGTTCATAAAACTAAGTGTGGAGTCTATATAAATTTGAAGTTTTTCTAGGCTGACCTTTTGCCTATCCCTTTTTTAATCAGAACAACTACATTTTAATGCTATTACTAAATTGTTTTAATTCTTTGGTGTGAGCTATCTACTTTTTACTCTCTCTAATTTCTCCCTCCTTAAATGAACAAAATTATTTAAGACTTTTATAAGCTGAAGTATGTGAATGTTATTTAAATCACTTAAGTGGTTCAGCCCTTTAGTAAAAATATTTGACTTAAGTTTGGGAGACAAGGGAAGTTAATAGTTTTTATAAGTATTTATTTAATATCAGTTACAATAGTGTAGATGCCACTGTAGCAAATGTAGTCAGATGTATTATAACTTTCTATTGAGTTTTCAGAAATTTTTAGGATTATGGTTTAGAGCCTAGCAAAAACTAAGAGTTCTAAGTCATATAAAGTAAGGGAAGTTAGCAACAGATGCTTTAACTAAAAACTACCTTAACAAAAAATTACAAATGTACACCACCAGTCTTAACATCCTTTCTTGCATTTGTTCCAACTGTATTGGTGAGAATGTACATTAGCACAGCCATAGAGGCAAGGTTCCTGAAAATTCCAATATTCAAATTCCATATGATCCAACCATCCCACTATGAGTCATATATACAAAGGAAAGGAAATAAGGATTCCATAGAGATGTCCAGAGTCAGTGTTTATTGCAGCACAGTTCACAATGACCAAAATATGGAAGCAAGCCAACTGTCCCATCAACAGACAAATGCAGAATGGTGATAGAGACACATAGACACATACATATAACATACACATGTATAGTGGATTACCCTGCAACCATTACAGAGAAGGAAATTCTGTCATCTGAGCTAGCATGGTGCTGTCTGGAAGAAATCATTTGAAGTGAAATAACCTAGGCACAGAAAGAATACATGTTTTCACTCCTCCACGGAGACTAAGAATACGACCTCAGGAACAGAGAGTAGGATAGTGATGACAAGAGGTTGAGAAGGGAATAGAGATTTCAGTTTGCAGTAGGTCATCGGGAAAGTCATGATGTATTTTTGAATGTAAAAGTGCATCGTGAGTTTCTCGACAACCTCATATGAGAAATGAGGAGTTCTTGTGTTACATAGTACACTTGGGTAACTCTACTTATTAATTTGTTGTATCTTTCAGATGAGCTAAAAGAGGATTCTGAATATTTCCAGCTCTCCTTTTGAAATTGTAAATAGTGTTACCAATTTATCAATGATAAATTATTTAGAGAGTATTAACTTGCCAAAGCTAGTGCTTTGAAGCTTTGGGTGTCAGGAGAAGGTAGATTTGAGATGAGCTTACAAGGTGTTCGCTCTTGGCTTTCATAGTTTCTTTACATAATGTGGTAAAGAAATTGGCCATGATGTTTTTAACAGGACAAAAAACGTTGGAAAGTAGAAGGAGAGAATTGTCTCTGAATTGTATGGGATTTTGCCTTAAGTCTTATTGCTCATTGGGTGTCAGGAGAAGGTAGATTTGAGATGAGCTTACAAGGTGTTCGCTCTTGGCTTTCATAGTTTCTTTACATAATGTGGTAAAGAAATTGGCCATGATGTTTATAACAGGACAAAAAACGTTGGAAAGTAGAAGGAGAGAATTGTCTCTGAATTGTACTGTGGGATTTTGCCTTAAATCGTATTGCTCAATTCCTGAATCAGAGAAGAAATTCATGCCTTTTGCATGTGCACAGAAAAAAGACTACTTGCCTTGTTTTGAAGTATAAGCTGTCATGGGTAAAAGCTAGCTTTAGTCTCCTGATTTCACATCAATTTAATTAAAAATGTATCTTAATTAGTATTTAGGGTATAGTTAACGTGAAAGTGATAATGTAGTTTCCTCTAGTGATGTTTTGTGGTTGCCTTTACAAGGATCTATTTTCTTTTTTTAGACGTGTTGAGTCTGTATGAAAAATATTAGTTTCGAGATGGGAGTGTAAGCAATGCTTGATTGTGTTTTTTGATTGAAATTGAATGACATAATTCAATAAGTTTTTTTCCTTCTTTACTATTCAGCGCTTATAAAACACATGAAAACACCAAATCATTCACTGTTAAGTCTGATAGTTTGTGACTGGTGCCTCAGAAGTAAGACCTGGTAAATTATAAAAGGTATATATGGTTCTGTGTCCTGCAAAGTATCTGTCAGTACACTTGGGTTAGTGTCTCTCTGACTCTTAAAGAATAACAGAATTTGCCTTCTCTATGGTTTCCACAATTATCTTTCATTGTGAATGACTAACACATTGAATGTCTCTTCCCTCCGATACATCAGCTCTTGACTCAGCACTGTGTCCGTTGTCTCCTCCTATTTCACATTCAGTTTCTTACAATGATTAGATGCTATAGTGCCATAAATAGAGGAAAAACAATGACATCTTAGGGCTTAATAAGAATGCCTTTAGGGGCCCGCAGGTGGCGTGGTGGTTAAAGTTGCTGGACTCCCACATGGCTGATCACCAAGTCCTGGACCTGGTGGCTTGCTTTCTTGCCCCCCCTTCTCTCTCTCTCTCTCTCTCTCTCTGTCTGTCTCTATTTCTCTGTCTGACCTGACCAAACTGGGAAATAATAATAATAAAATTAAATAATCTTTAAAAAATTATACAAAAGAATGCTTTCATTATGATTATTTCTCTCTTGTGATGATTGGCTTGTCTTGTATTTGTTTATCCTTTTGTTTGGCTTCTACGTCTCCAGTATTTAAGAAATACTACAATATGTGTTAAGGTATCTTTTCGTAAGTCGTGCTTAGAGATCTGAAAAGGCATCGCTTCTATATCTTCATATAGACTATTAAAAAGATAACTTGATGTAAATGTATTTGAATCTTTCTGAGCGTCTTAATCTCTCAATGAATTCTTTTCTCTGTTCCACATGTAGTATTCAGGGGGGGTTTCTTTGACTTTGAATCTGGAAGTATCTTGCTTGAGTCTAGCTGTTTGAATCTATTTTGTTATCTGTTCTATTTTATTCTATTAATCTTGGAAAATGAAAAGCTTATCTGCCTTGTATTCATTGTTGCTATGTCTGCTAAATTATGCCTACAGAAGATTATACTCTGATTTACTATGCATTTGTTTTGCACCCTGAATTAACCAATTCTTTTTTAAGTTCTCTTGCATGGTAGCTAAAAATTAATGTTTTGTCATCGGTGAAGGAATCATTTTGATTCTAACTTTCTTTTTTTTTTAACTTTCAGGACACACATATATAACATTGACAGTTTTGCTTATGATGCTAGTAACCATTGGCTAGCTGACTTTCCCAAAGAAGAGTTAAGAAGAAAGTATATACAAATATACAGACTATTTCTACCTTCTTAATCTTCTTAGAACTTTCTGGAAGAGCGGATACAATAAATGAAATAGTGCACTTTGTTTTGCACGCTATCATTGTCTTTGAGACATGTTAGAGATGTCAACAAAGCAAGGAGACGGAATGGCCCTGGGATCACATTCTCAACACACCGCCACCTCTTGAAAATAGAACGGCTCTTAGGGAGGACTGTAGACTGAAAGATTATTCTTCCTTTGTTGTATGATATTGAAAACTGATAATGAACCAGCACTTACCCTATTATAAGGTGGATAAGCTGCAATTTTTTTTTTTTTGGAGAGATTTTCACTGTAGGGCGCGTGTGCTCGCCAGACAGACAGAGAGAGACATAGAGACAGAAAGCGAGAAATCACCCCCCAGGGGGGATGGTCACGCTGCAATCCCTTCTCCTCCATTCTCCTCTCAGGATCTTGGGCACGCACGCACATGCGCCCGGCGTGAGTTTTAAGCCACCGGGTCCGGGACGTGAACCGCGGTCGACTACGTGGGAGTCCAGCGACATAGCCATTACGCTAACTGCTGGTTCCCGATAAGCTGCAATTTTGTATTTAGAACAATCTAAAAACAACAAACAAAAAACCCAGCCCTGTGAAATGCATGTTCTTTGACTTAATGTCCTTCAAAGTATCCAGAGGGCCTGCAGGTGGCGCAGAAGTTATGATGACTGGGGCTCTGATGGCTGACTGAGCAGTTTGAGTCCCAGACCCAGAAACTTGAAAAACATGCCAGGCACATGTGGGGTGTGTGTGTGTGTCTGTCTGTCTGTCTGTCTGTCTCCAAATTCCCAAGAGAAGAATGGAGTAGAGAGGATTGTGGCATGGCCATCTTCCCTAGGAGTGATTTCTCACTTTCCCTCGAAAAACTAAAAAAAAAAGAAAAATTGAAAAGTCTCTAGAGATATTACAATATTAACATAAGGAAAGATTCTGTATTTCCACAATGACCTGTTCATAGCCAAATTGTAAATCTCGTTTTATAACATTAATTTATTTATATTTATTTATGTCAGTGAACATTGATTTTACATGTATAACAAGAAAAATTTAAGATTTGTAAAGAAAAATTTATTTTCCCTAAATAGAAATAAATAATTGACCATATTTACTTGTTTCATATAATGTTTGGATATTTTTCTCAGATGTGAATGTTTTATTTCTAAATAAGGATTCCCTTCCTGCCTCCTGTAAGTAGTTTGCAATACTGTTCTCCGGTTGTCCCTGTGTAAGTCATTTTAGTTACATTTGTACTGTATTGTACTTTCTCAAGTATGTTGCATCGTTCCCTGTTACAATGTTGACATTACTTGCTATTGATTTACCTAAAGACAATTACATCAATTTCTAGATTCTTAATATATTTTGGTCATGTAGCCGATTATATTCTAGGTGTTAGACTAGACTACAATATTACACATCACTAGATTTAACAATAATTTTTTTGTTTTACTGCCTCCTCTGTTACATTTTGTTGTTCACATTCCATGGGCTTCATGGCACTTCACTATAAATACTAAAGTATGTATTTCTATCAATGAGGACATTTTTCTTTCTAACCTCAACTCAAAACTAACAAGGTTAACCATAATTTTCTAATAGTTTCTAGTATTAGGAAATTACTTTAACTGAACTAAAAGTTCTGGGAATAGGTGCATATCCACCTATTCATTTCTTTGTTAGATATGAGGGCCAGCACTTGTAGGATTTCTCTCTTTCCCCCTTTTTTGTTTTTGTTCCTATTTTTGTTTTTTGGTAAGTTTCTTCATTTCTCCCATGGGTCAGAGAAGAAGCACCCCTACAGGGTCTTGATGGCCTGATCCACCGCTGCCTCAGCCAGCCTGGATCATGGGCCTGCGGATGCCTGGTGTACTCAGGGGAGCTTCTGGGTGCAGACCCGGAACCTTCCCATATGGGTTAGCCTTGCAGAGCAATGTGTGTTACCACTGCCCCACCCTCCGGCCCCTCTTGTAGGGTTTTTGTTTACTTTGGTCTGTATTCTGTTGTCATAGGGTCAAACTGCTTTTTTTGTTTGTTTTTTAAGGTCTGCCGTCTTACAGGTTTTTCTTTTATCATAAGGATTACATTGCCTTTCCTCTCAACACCGATGCTTCGTTATTGTAGCATGTTCTACTCATGCACCACAGAACCTTGAGTTGTATAATATTCAATGCACTATGACGACCACTCTTCTGGGCACACCTGAAGATTGAGAATGTTTTCCTTCACTCTCCTAGCTGTTTTCTTTGGTTAACGCCCAAGGTACAAATGCCTCATTTTCCACCCACCTTGAGGGTTCCCTCCAATTCCTTCCCTAGAAACAGCTTCTTCCCAGAAATCACTGCTTTCTTTGCAGCCTATTCCAGTGGTGGCTGTTCTTTTCATGCTCCGTGTGACACATTGTTGAGAGGCACTGGTATTGGTTTTCCTGTTTCTCGTTCTCACTTCTATCTCTTTTCCCACACACTCTTTTAAAAAGAGTAATTGTTCCCTCTGGTAGGATCACTTACTAAAATGTCAAACTTGTTTCCCTCTCTTGATTCTAAGCACATAGCCCAACTTTCCCTGTCACAGGGAACGTCATGACAGATGGAAGCAGAACTGAGTTAAAGACAACCCTCTTCTGCATTTTCCTTCTCTGAAATCCTCCAGCCATAGAGGTCTAAGCTGTGGGGAGGGAGAGAGAAACAGAACCAGGAAGAGAGAAGGTTCCTGTGAACAACAAAGGCTTTGGGATCAGCCTCCAGCCTGGAGCCAAGCATCCTGGTAGTTTCCGGGTGACAGTGACTGGTGAGTCTCAGACAAGTGACAGGAAGCTGCATGGTTGCTGTATTTTGAAGTTGAGAATTGTTTGCTCCCCTCTCCCAGGCTTTTCCACTTTTTCATGCAGTTTTCCCCGAAACCGCCCTTGTTTACCATAAAGGCTGGTGGGAGTAGTGTGTGCAATTGCTGAGGGTTTTGTTTCACTCTGTGTGCTTTCTTACTGGCCATTTGTAAGTTTTGGCTTTCTTTGTTCTATGTGGTGTTGAAGGGGTGGTTTTGTACAACCACACATTATGTTGGCGTGGCTCTGGGAAATCACATAGTGGGAAAGCAAACTGGTGCAGCCCTTTTGGAAGGGAATTTTACAATATCTATCACAAATAAATATATGTTTATCCTTTGGCCCACCAGTCGCACTCTAGGAATGACCCTTGAAGATGCAACCATCCACAACATGAAAATACACATGCATAAGGTTATTCATCAGAGCACTGTCACTGCAAAAGATTGAGAACAGTCTGAATATCCATACATAGGACGGGCCAAATAAACTGTTATATCCCTCCTCCAAAAAAAAAAAAAATCTATGGAGATATTTAAAATAGAGAAAGATCTGTGAACTGTCATGGAGTTATTTCCAGAATATATTAAGCGGAAAAAGTAGAGTGTGAAAGACTATAGCATGCTATTTTTCATGAAAGGAGGAGGAGGAAACAAACATCTATGCATGTTTCATTTTGTGCACAAAGAAACAGGAAGCATAAACTAAAAACAATAGGTGGTGAGAATTTTGAATGGGAATGTGGCATGTTGTTTGGCTTGAAATTTTAGAGCCATTGTCGCACATGTTAAAAAGGCAAGTAAATACAGGCAGCAAAAATCGGAAGGGAAGAGGAGGAACATCATAAAGGAATACTATTCCCATAAAGGAACCTTATCACATTTCAAGTCAATAAGTAACCAACTGCATTTTAGAGGGGCCAGCAGGTAGCATGGTGGCTAAGGTACTGGCCTCCCATGTGATTCACCACAGTTCTAGTCCTGGCCCTGGCAGCTTGCTTTCTCACATTCCCTCTCTCCCCCTGTGTCTCTGTCTCTTTCTTATAAATACATGTGCCCTATAGCAAATTACAAAAACAATACTTTTTTTAAAAAAAAAGAAGCTAGAGATTGAGCTAAATCAAATAACCTCCAAACAGTATTTCTGTTCTATCACCAAAAGCTAAAGACTAAAGGAATATATAACAAATGTTGGATTCATTTTAATAGGTTTAATTTTTCATGGTATTGTGCTTCAGTAATTTCAACGCTACCTTATGTGCATTCTAAGATGGAGCAAATAAGTGCATTGTGAATAATGAAAGTCACTGTCAGGGAAGAGTTACCAATATGAAGGGAACGCTGGAGTGAAACCCATAGTATATCATTGTAGTTTGAGTTATCAGGATGGACCCGTGATTCAACATCATTCACAGAGAAACAGATGCAGATGTGAGTGTGCACATCTGTGTTAGGGCTCTCTGGAGACGCAGATACAAGAGGATTTTAGAAAGATGTAAGAGATTTATTGTGGGGAAATTCTGTCCAAGTGCAAAGGCTGGAGAACCAGGGTGATAAATGGTGTAACTCCCAGCCCAAGGCTGGAAGCATGCTGGTGTGAGAGCAAGACTTTGTCCACAATGGTGAGAGCTATAGGCTATTCCTGGACTTACTAAAATAAGCCATCACAGCATCTGTGTATGTATACGATATGTACCACTATGTACAGTTTATGTACGACCTCTATATGTGTGTGTGTATATGTATATGTTTTAGTGTGTTATGTTGCTAACAAATACCGGGTAGTTTTATAAAAAGATAGAGGTGGGGCCAACATGGTGGTTAAGTAGCTGGACTCCCACATGGCTGACTGATTCGAGTCTCAGACTGGGTGGCTTGCTTTGTAGACTCTCTTGTGAGTGCACAAGCCTTGTAGCAAACTGAAAAATAATAAATAAATAATTGTTTTTAAAAAAGGAAGTTTTATTTATAAACTCACAATTCTGTTGGCTCTCACCTGGGCCTACACTGTGACCCAAGAAAACAGGATGGGGGTGTAAGCAGAGAGAGAGCTTCTGACTGCTCTGTCCCGTCGGAAGTAACCTTTCTCACGAGAGCTAGAATTGGCTGGGTCTTGCAAGACATCATTAATCTA